ACATGTTCAGAGTATGTTAGATGGAGCCTCAGAATCCTTGCCTCAAGGAGCCACCCAGTTTTACCGTTTCCAGGATGAATCTGTTTGTTTTCCTAGCAGTCCATGGTACCCTCAGTACTCTTCTCCAGCACCACAGCTCAAAAGCATCTCTCCTTCTATCCTCCTTAGTCATTGTCCAACTCTGATGCATAACAAGTGATTACAAAGACCATGGCCTGTATCAGACGCACCTTAGTCTCCAGAGAGACACCACTGCTCTTCAGTACTTTGGAGAGGTCCCTAACAGCAGACTTTCCCATGGCAATCATGACATTCATTTCCTGGCTGCTGGTGCCAAGAGTGTTGACTGTGGAGCCAAGCAAACTTAAAGCTCTGAACAATCTCAATCTCTTCACCATCCATCCTGACGCTGCCAGTTGGCCCAGTGGTGAGAATCTTTGTCTTCTTGACATTGAGCCTCAGTCCATATTGGAGGCTGCAGTCCTTGACCCTCTGCAGCAAGCGCTTCAGGTCTTCCTCAGTTTCAACAAGCAGGGTTGTGTCATCTGCATATCACAGATTGTTGATAGATCTCCCACTAACCCTGACCCCACAATTCTCCTCATAGAGCCCAGCCTCCTAGATAATCTGTTCTGCATACAGGTTGAAAAGGTATGGAGACAGGACACATCCCTGGCATACGCCCTTCCCAATTTTGAACCATGCAGTGATTCCTTGCTCTGTTCTGACGACTGCCTCTTGGTCCAAGTATAGGTTTCACATTAGCACAATCAAGTGTTCTGGGATTCCCATTCTTCTCAGAGTCAGCCACAGTTTGTTATGATCCACACAGTCAAATGCCTTTGCATAATCAATGAAACACAGATGGACATTCCTCTGGTATTACCTGCTTTCAGCCAAGATCCATCTAACATTAGCTCCAATATCCCTAGTACCACGACCTCTTCTTAACCCAGCCTGGACTTCTGGCAGTTCTCTGCTGATGTGCTGTTCCACATCATTCCAGTCATTTTTGGATAATCTTCAGTAAAATTTTGCTTGCATGTGAAATCAGTGATATTGTTCTATAGTTTCCACACTCGTCAGAGGGAAAAAAAATAGAAACAAATCTAGAAGCCCTAATCTGTTGCATGAATAGACTTTCTGGCATAAGCAAAAAACCATAACCAGGAAAACTCTTAAAATAGTGAATGCATCCTTCTAAAAGTCAGATTCTTATGTACTAAAAAAAACCCAACTTCAGTAGAGTGAAAAAGAGGCTCAGAGACTGGAGGAAAATATTGGACAATGAAATACTTGATGAGAGACTAATAATTAAAGTTTATAGGATATTCCAGCATATCAACAATAAAAAGACAACCCAATCATGAAAGATATGAACAGATACTTCACCAAAGGAGAAGAGTCAGGTGTCCTACAAACACATGAAAAAATGCTTAAAATCACTTTTAGAAAGATGCAAATAGAAACAATGAGATAACATTTCACCCCATCAACACTAGCAAAATTTAATAGAACAGCAAACAACAAATGCTAGTAAGAATGTGAAGAGATCAGAACTCTCATACACTAATAGTGGGAATGTAAAATGCACTATGGAAGGCAGTCTGGAACATAATCAAAAACTTGAACTTGGAAATACCATTTGACACAGCTATTCCACTCTTGGGAATATACCCCAGAGAAGTCAGAGCTTTGATTGAAACAGGTGTATGCACACCCATGTTTATTATTATTATTCGTGATAGCAAAGGTGTGGAAGCTACCCAAGTACCCATTAACCAATGAATGGATAGCAAAACTGTGGTACATCCACACAGTGAACTAGTATGCAGCATTGAAAAGCATTGAGTTTTCAAAACAATGTACAACATAGATGAATCTGCAAGAAATTACGCTGCGTGAAGTATCTTGAAGGGAAAATACTACATAAGACAACTGTTAAAGGAATAACATTGTTTTCAAGAACAGGTCAATTTGGGGAAAGGGAAGGGAGGGAGGTGGGGTAAATTGTGCAACAATGAATGAATGAAAATAAGTTTTCTGTAACCTTTTGTTAAAATCATAATTTAAAAAAGGAATAGGATGGATACAACATGGGGCAGATAACAGGAAAAGAATGGATAGATAATAAACAGTGCATTGGAATAAGTAAAGGGAAGGACAATCTGAATGGGATGGATGATTAGACATGTATGTGACAGTTAATGTCGGTAGCAGCACAGGTTTTCAAAAATGAAATAGGTGGAGAGATTAGAGAGGGAAATGTGATTAAATGAAAACTTGCCTCTTTGTAAGTCACCAATATTAAAGTAAAAATAAAACCAAGAAAAACAAAAAAGAAGTAGCCTTAACATCCATTCACCATCTGTGCCTGAATCAAGTATTTCACTCACTCACTCACTCACTCACTCACTCATATTTTACTTACTGCCATCAAGTTGTTTGTGACTCATAATGACACTGGTTTCTGAGGGTATACATTTAACTGAAGGAGACTGACCCATCTCTTTAAGCTAAAGAATGAATATGTCCCTTGGAAAGGGAAGTTGCCCTTGACTTAAGCCATAGTGTTTTCAGTTGTTTTATGTGCCTGCAAAAGCTGGACAGTTAGTGAAGAAGATTAAATAATTGGTGTATTTGAATTGTGGTGTTGACAAAGAATATTAAATGTTTCATTGACTATCAGAAGAATGAGAAAATCTGTCTTGTTGTTATTGGTATGTGCTGTCGGGTTGCTTGCAACTCATGGTGACCCTACATACAACAACCTTGAAACCTGCTCTATCCTGAGCCAACTTTATTGTCCATGACATACTGACCCCATTATGCCCATCACTGAGGCAATCCATCTTAATGAGTGTCTTCCTCTCTTGTGCTGTCCCTCCATCCTTCCAATCATTATTTCCCTCTAACCATTGGTTCCTTCTTTGCAACATGTCCAAAGCATGTCAGATGAAGCTTAAGAATCCTTTCCTAAAAGGAGCAGCCTGTTTCGCCCTCTCCAAGATGAACCTGTTTGTTTTCCTAGCAGTCCATGGTATGTTCAATACTCTTCTCCAGCACCACAGCTCAAAGGCATCAATTCTTTTCAATCATCCCTAGTCATTGTCTAGCTTTCTGACTCATAACAAGCAATTGTCAAGACTATGGCCTGGATCAGGCACACTTTAGTTTTCAGACTGATGTCATTGCTCTTAAGTACTTTAAAGAGGTCTTTTGATTTCCTGGCTGCTGGTACCAAGAGTGTTGATTGTGGAGCCAAGCAAACTAAAACTTTAAAAATCTCAGTCTCTTCACCATCTATCATAATGCTGCCAGTTGGCCCAGTGGTGAGAATCTTTGTTTCTTGATGTTGAACTTCAATCAATATTGAAGGCTGTAGTCCTTGACCTTATGCAGCAAGTGTTTCAGGTCCTCCTCAGTTTCAGCAAGTAGGGTTGTGTCATCTGCATAACACAGATTATTGATGAGTCTTCCTCCAATCCTGATGCCACATTCCTCCTAATACAGCCCAGCCTCCTGGATGGTTTGTTCTGCATATAGATTGAAAAGGCATAGAGATAGGACACATCGCTGGCGTACACCCTTCTCAATTTTGAACCATGCAGTGTTTCCTTGTCTTAGAAAAGAAACATTAGAATGTTCTTTGGCCCACCATTGCATCGTTCAATGTTGATTAATTTTATAAAATATAATGAATGGGAATGATAGTATGAAACACAATATATATATGAACTTTGTAAACAAACCACTATAAACTAAGAGTGTATTTATTTTTTTGTTTATTAAAAAGACTGCTTCTTGGAAGTGAAGATTATGAGAGTTCATTGTACATACTGTAGACATACTTGTCCAGTCCCTAGGAAAGGGACATCATGCTTGGCATAATCAAAGGGTCAGTGAAAGTTGGGAGACCCTCAACCTGATGGACTGACACTGTGAGCACACCAGGCACGACAGTGGTTGTTGAGAATGGTGCAGGAACTGAAAGGATTTCATTCTACTAAACTTAGCTCCCTGTGAGTCAGAACTGACTGGATGGCACTTGACAAGACCTTTCTGATGGTGGCAGTCTTTACGGTGTGCTCTTGCTTCAGTTCCAGCTCATGGCGACCCCATTGACAGACTAGGACATACAGGATTTCCTTGGCTACATGTTGTTTGTAGTAACAAACCATACCAATAACTTCCAGAAATATTTGATAAGGGAGAGGGTCGACGAAAGCAAAGGAACCCTCATTGACCTGGAAATGACATAATAGTGATAGTAAACATAGCACAGACCTGGGCAGTGTCTGTTCTGCATCCTTTCACCAAATAACAGGTGACCTGAAAGCAACTAACAACAACATATATCTCCCTTTTCCCCTCTGAAACAGATGGATGATGTAAACCTAATCTAAGCCTTTCTCTTCAATTTTTGTTGTGTACCCTTGATTTGGAACTGGCTCCTACCTGTCCCTCCTGTAGGTTTTCAGAGGCAGTAATCCCAGGAGAATTTATCCATCTTTCTCCAAAAGAATAAAAGATGATCAAAGCATTTAAACTCAGAAAAATTGAATAGCAAAATATTTAATGTTGTCATATATCCCAAGTAAATTAAAAATATGAATCCAGTTTAGCATTTTACTGCTTATCCTAGCTGGATAACAGTATTTACCTGTGTATTTTCTTGATTGTATTTATATTTAGTCACAGATTTTTTTTTTAGGTGTGGTCTCTTTCTTATACATATATTGGATTTAGTTGCATAATTTCTAGACTGCAGGTCAAGTTAGAGTATTAAAGTACAGACTTTGATCCTTTTTCATAAGGTATGAGGGGGCAAGCAAATACTTTCTTATTTAACATAGTAAAGAAAAGACGTGGTTTTTTTTTATTCTCTAAATAATAATTTGGCAAACAATTAATGTTTCATGTAAGATATGTGAATAAGATTCCACTTCAAAGAGAGCTTGATAGTTAAGTTAAAAATTAACTCATCTTCCTTTTTTTAGGTTTCTTATGAAGATGTGGATCGCTTGAAAGGATTGGCAGTTACAGAAAATATAAGGGTCCCTCATTTCCTGCAGGACCATGGCCGATACATGGAACACTTAGAGAAGATCATGGAAGTTAATGAACTAACTGACAGGGAGCTGAAAGATCTTATATATTAGTTTGCATTCTTGCACATATAGCTGAACTATACCTCTGTATATTAGCAAATTAGGTGCAGGTAGCACCAGCATTTTATAAAAGAAGAATGATTTTTAGAAAACTTGAGTTTTCTAAAAAATTGCCTACAGTATTCAGCTGCATTTTTAGGGCTTTGGTATGAAACCTTAAATCATTTCCCTAAAAGGATTCTGTGGGCTGCAAGGGAAGGTTGCTCCTGTTTTCCATCATACTTCATGTTTCAATTTGCTGACTTGACTTGAGGTATCTTTGTTGAATTGAGTGATACGTTTGCATATGAGGACTGATACCAGCCCCAAATGGAATAGGGCTCAGTCCTAAACAGTGTCTTTCAAACCAAAAGGTTATATTACATTTTATAAAGAATGATTTTTTTTTTGAAAAATTAGTTTTGTTATGCCCCTGAAAGTTATTTCTAAGATTTCTTATCCCTCATTATATGTAATAATAAAACAAAGGGAGAAAGCAGTTTGAAAAATTTTCTAAGTTCTTTATTTTACACATTGTTCCACTTTGATCTGCTTCTGGAAACTAATAAGAAAATTGCTTTGTTTTTGTCATTATCTCTTAACCAAACTCCCATTTTAAACTGTTGAATATATTGTATCCCTAAAAGTTATTTTTTTTTTATCATGGGAAATATTTCTAATCCCAAAGATGCAAAACCAGAGCTCCTTTAAATTCTTGATCAAATGTTAGGGTTTTCTCTTTCCATTCTTTTATGTAAATTAAATACCTATATATAAGTTAGATAAATAATAACACATATTAAAATAGTTGGACAAAGGGGAAGAGACCTTTTTATTAAATGGAATATATGTAATAAGTAAGCAGTAATTAGGCTGATGTAGTTTAAATGAAGGAGCTGGATATTGACGGGGCAGTGCCTACAGAAAAAGTGAACATAGGGCCATCGGGCAGTGTGCTTAATAAACTCCCCTGTGAAGTGGTTTAGTATAGTTTCTAAAGTCTTTGATTTCTTCAATCCAGTAATCAGACAGAAACAGAAGTCTTGTTTTACAATACTGTTTTCCTTGCTAAAAGCTTATTATAGTTTATTAGTTCATGAGCTAGTTACTTAACTTACAGACCTTCAGTATGCAGTCTACAGTTCTGGTGAATATCTGTATCTAGAAGTAGGAAAAGAAAAAAAGAATAAAGCTCAGTACATATCTCTAGTGGCAACTTGCTTTTACCTGCCAAGTTATAAGAAAGTTAAAAAAAAAGTTACAAAAAAGTACAGGTCTGTCCTGTCCTAAGAGCAGCTTTAAAGACACTACCTTTGAATACCTGGTAATGAAAGGTTTTTCATCTTCCTACTTAAATGATCAGAAAGAATACTGCTGTTGCCCTCCCCCATTCAAGACTGCTACTGTAATTCTATTCATAGCTCTCTGAGCTTCTCTTTACCTCAGTTCTGGCTAAAATATGGTGCTAACACCAGCAGCTGCAAAGTCCAGTCTGCATTTATGCTAGAAGTTGATTTTAGGAACTCTTTTGTAGGTTATGTTATATAGTTTTTCTCCAAATAACTCCAAGGACTTGCCTCAAAGAAGGAAACTGCAACAGGGATAGATGATAGCTGAGGTTCTTGAAAAACCATACATCTTTCTGTTGGCCCTGGAGGGCCAGGCCCTTTGGAGCTAGAACACTGAAAGGCCTGCCCTGTGAGTGGGCCCTGCTGGACCTGTGACAGGCGTGGGACAGAGCATGCAGCACTGACCAGATGGCAGAAGCCACTCTTGGCATCTCTTGGCAGCTGAGTCTTGGAGTTTTCAGCTTTGTGTAGTGTTATCAGATCTTATCTTAAAGCTTAAAAAAAAATTCACTAGTTTTTTTTTTAAATATTGTGATGACAATGTCTCATTAACAGAAATTTAGATATAGACAGAAATGGCAATACTTATGTCCTATAAGTTAAGTCTGACTGACCGTCATTTCATCATTTGTGAGCAGTAACATTGCTTATCTCTTGTTCTGCTTTAAATGTAAAGGAAAAAGACCAGAGTAGCCTTAATCATTTTTTTTTATTATTTGTTCTAGTCCTTGCATTTTAAAATGAGTGGACATTTTCTTTATGTCTGGTTTGTTAAAGGAAAAGCTTACTTGCCTTATTTATTTGGTATACAGACAAAACAAGAGCCACTAGTCAGATTAAAAAAAAAGACCTTAAATCACACTGATTGTTTTAAGATATTTTAAGTTAGCAGTGAAGCAAAAATATTCTCAGATTAGCAGAAATAAAAAGCTCTAGGATTTAAAAGTTCAAGATTACGGTTTACTTAGGAATGCTGCTGAATATTGTACTGCACATCTCAGCTTTTTTTTCTGAAGTAGCATCATGATCAGTTTTTCCCCCTGAAGTAAACATTTTAATAAGAATGAAATTAGAGCAACCATACATAGGGGAATGGTTGGGGATTGGATTACTTTTCATTTTAATGTTAGGTTATTCATTGTAGGGTCTTGATGACTATAATTTCATCCATTGTCTCCACTTCTAGTTCTTTCAAATTTGATATAGTAGTAATAAATAACAGCTCTGACATTTTAATGCCAGACAAGATTCGAAATAAAATGAAAAGTCGGAGTTTTCCATTTCTTTGTATTTTCACCTTTGTAAAAGTATTTAAAATTTGTATTGTTTGTTTTGTATTATCTTTGGCTATTTTAAATTGTGTGTAGTTATAATAATAAATAGCTTTGAGGTTCTCAAAGTATGTGGATTATTACGCACATAAAACCCTAATCGGACTTTTGTTGTGGTATTTCTGGTAACAGTGGGAAGGACTGATGGTCTGTGTGCCTTCTGGTGTCTTTATTGATACAGAAATGCTAACATTTGCAACATCTGATCCTCCCCTGAGCAGGAAGTAAGAAGGAACAAGAGGGAGGGACAAATGTATTTTAATTTCACTTCACTGGACTTGCAAGAAGGGGCCCTGGAGGCACAGTTGTTAAGTACGTGGCTGTTAACTGAAAGGTCACCAGTTTGTATCCACTTAATGAAGCTTTGGGGAAAAGATGTGACAGTCTGCTTCCATATAGATTACACCATATGGGTGAGTCTTGAAAACATCATGTCAACTGAAAGTAGCCAGACACAACAGCACAAAGATTGCAGGATTCCATTCATCTATAGTATTTATAATAGGAAAATGCAAATTGGCAAAAGTAGATTGTGCTTACCAGGGCCTGGAGAGGAAGAAGAATGGGGGTTAAAAGAAAATGCCACTGAACAAACTATACCCGATGAAACTGACATCTTAGGTCAGAGGGGAAGCTCAAGGGCAGGGAGTTTCAGCGGAGGAACAACTCAGGAGAGCTAGAATGCTTGCCCATTTTAAAAGATATTCTCAGTAACCCTGAATGGTACGCAAAGAAATTTTCGAATTGGTGCATGTTCAACTGTGAATATTTTCAACAATTTTAAGACATTTGAAACAAAACACGGCGGCTAGGAAGCCCTCTTGGCTCATTTACGGTGAATGTCTCCCCCTGGTGCTGAGTACCGGCACTGTGATCCGGTATGGTGTAAATTGCTTTACCGCTGTTGTTCCTTTTTCATGCCTCCTGAGAGGGGTATTATGATCATTTAATTAGGTCAGAAACCCCAGGACTCCCAGATACGCCCCCTGTGCAGAAGTCACTGTGCTCTCATCTCTGTGGTGCAGCATGGTGGGAAAGGGCACCTCTGGCCCCAGAACACCTGGCTGCCAGCCCCACAGTCAAATTCCATCTCTGTGTCTGTTTCCCCTCTGTAAGAACCAAGGAATGGTCCTAATAGCATGTGTGTCAGGGCAGAATTGTGCTTCAAGGGACTGACAGCAGCTCATTTGTCAGATCACAAGGTCTTTCTTCCAAAACACCTCTGGTGGGTTTGAACGGCCAACTTTTCTGTTAGCACTTGGTTGTTCTACCATCTGTCCCACCCAGTGATGTCTTCTGAAGACTAACACAGATGAAAGTGTATAGCACTGGATCAACAGGCTTAAGCAAGAAGTATTGAAAAACAGGTGCCCGTGCATTCCCTTCTTCCGTGACCCACTCAGGAAAGATGTGTCCATCGCCCAGCTCAGCCAGGAGAGGCTTACAGACAGGAGACCCAGCCACAGACTTGGAGCGTTCATCCACACACTCAAGTTCTTGCTCACCCAGGGTGGGATTAGAACTGCCTGGGAGGAGGCCTGCACCCATCAGGACCTAAATGCAAGGGAGAAGATGACCACACACAGCTTCAGGAGAAGGTCGCCTGGAAGGTTCAGAAGGCATCACTGGGTGGGGCAATTGCTAATGGAAAGTTTGGCAGGACCAACAGCTTAAAGCCACCCAGTGGATCCACAGGATATATGACACTGCAGTACAATTTCCTTCCTATAGGTTAGTCAAGTACGCCCTATAGGACAACCCTGCCTATCACATAGGGGTGCTAGGAGTTGAAATACTTGACAGAGCTCAAACAACAAACCAAAATCCCATTTGGTGTGTAGACATGGAGTGGAGAAAGAACACAAGGTTTTCTAGGCTGCAAGCTTTAGAGGCTGGTTGCTAAGACTTCCATTCATAACACACCTAATGGGTCTCAATTGCCAAGTTTGAGGTTAATGTTTTTAGGTACTGTTGCCTCAAATACAACTCACAGATTGAGGGCTGGGCTAGCCCTGCCTCTGTTTACCACTTTATAGCAATGGCAAGCGAATCGGGGGGCATGTGGGGTCTGTGCAGGTCTCCAGATGCCTGCAGGTACAGGCTGAGGGGAGGGGCACATTCAGGAGTTGCCAGCCCACACCCACCCAGAGGCATCAGGGTGGCCTCTGAGACCGGCAAGGGGACCCAGCACCAACTCTTATGATAGCCAGGCAGATGTAACTGTTTATTTTCACAAAGCAAAACTAAAAACCATCACTCATAAGAGTTTAAAAGAGTGCTCAATCACAGTTAAAAGCTTTATGTCATGTGCAGGGTGAACTTCACAGACTCCAGGCAGCGTTTGGACAGGCCTCTGGCCTCAGGCACCACACCCCTTTCTTCAGCCTCCATTGCACTGTTCTCTCAATTGAGACACTGAAGGGGAGCGAGGCCTTGGCCCAGCTGCAGCAGCCAGCCAGCATGATTCTGCTGAGACTAACAGTATCCACACAGGAAAGCCATGTTCATTCCCCACTGGGCTTCTGTTTCACCAAAGAAGTGCTCCTCAGCTACTCCCCTCATGAGAAGTCCTACAGCATCCAGCATGAGGGCAGGCGGGCAACCCAAGGCCTAACCTCGCAGACAGAAGGGCAGCCTGCCTCCTCGCTCTGCCCTCCCTAGCCAGAGGGGGGACATCATACACGCCATCATCGCTCGTGCTTAATGTTGGCTTCGCTTCGCTCCAAGGTGACCCCGCTGCCATTCCGAGGGCCTTCCTTCTTGTTCCAGTCCTTTTCCAAGTAAAACTCAGCGAGCACCGGACAGTGCTCTGAAGCCACTCCACCCCAGGACCAGTTGTCTGGAATCCAAGGATTCGTGAGGCCTTCTCTCACTACAGCCCAGTGACCTGCCGGAGACGAGATACAGAAAGATCAGGACAGAGAGACGGGGAGCTCCCAACCTGGCAAGTGGGGACCTCTTGCTAGAAGTCTAGGTTCCTGCTGAGCCCCTCAGGTGGCTGGTGTGTGCCCTGCTCACTCTGATGTCTGGGTAAAAGAGGGTTTACACATTTATCATGGAGCTCCAGTGGCTTATTGGGAAGGAGTTGTGCTGCTTACCCAAAGAAACATGGTTCAAATCCACCAGCTATTCCTTAGAAGGATTGGCAATATCCTCTGGTATGAGTTACTGCCTCTGAAAACCCACTGGAGGGTCAGTGAAGGGACAGTTCTCATTCCACTGTATCTAACAACAACAACAACAACAACAATGATGTGTTTATCACTGATGCTACCCTGAGTCCAGGCCTCCTATCCTTCCATATGGGTTTTGACTTATGAATGGCTTCTAACATGACCGCAAGTAGAGCATTGCCACAGGGACAGATGCCTCGTAAAGATATCCAAGGTCCAAGTCCTATATTGCAAAAGTCTTATACTGCAAAGCAAAAGTCTATGGGGGAGAGAATAGTCTAAAAGTATTATATTTTAGGGCATTATTTTTATCGTAGGAGTATGCAATGAGGGTTGCAGAGTGGATTATATTTGGGGGTTGGGGGGCGGGGGGATTGTGTACCAATGAGGGAGTTTTTCTTTTGCTTTTCAAGGAGAGGAGCAAATGGGGGGGGAGGGGTTTGTGCGGGGAGAAGGGTGCAACAATGAATGAATGGAATCCCAAAATCTCTGTAGATGTTCATTGAAATGAAAAATAAACAACCTAAATTTAAAAAAAAAAGACCTCAGGGGGGTGAAAATTTTCCCTACAAAATAGGTAATGAACAGAAAGATATGCAGAGCTTTACATTCTTATAGAGACATCAAAAAAATAAAGATTTAAAACTATAAAAAATAGGAGATTTTTTAAAATAACAAAGAAATAACTACTGTGAAAAATTACTGTGCAGTCAGAAAGCAATGTTGTGGCCCTCAGAACAAGCAACAATGTCCAGGCTAGTGGAAGATGTACAGGCGATGATGGTAAAGGGTACAGGCCTGGATGCTGGTCTGGACCAGGCCAGTGAAGGCCACATGTCCCCCTGGGCCTTGGCTTCTCCAACTTGATTGGAAGAGGGCAGATGAAGTGACTTCCTCCTTCCTTCTGGCCCTGCCATCTGGGGCTCTTTACACTCCAAGAACAGATCACTTCTACAGCTGCCCTCCCAGGAACTTGGGTGGGTGATGGGCTGACTCCACTCCTGGCTGATGTCTGCCATCTCCAGACCACCTCTTGTCTAGTTAGGGGATTAATCACACCTCCTGAGCACCCAGCCCTGGCTGCACATAGCTGTCCTGGGGTTGACGGGGAGGAACCAGCACTTCTGTCTTGCAAACTTCTCATAGGAGCTTGATATATATACATCAATGCTCCGTCACCGTACTAACCTTCCAGCAAAAATCTCTTATCAACTGCCACACCTCTGGTCACTTTCCCTGACAAAATATCTGTTCAGCAGATCACTAGTTGGGGAGGAACTTCCGTCAGTGCTGAGATGATACATCACAGACCAGTTATCAAGGTGTCCCGACTAAAGCATTTCTCCCATCCTTCGGTGACACTGTGTGACACACCTCATTGCCTCTATCTGCTGCCCTTGGGGAACTGGTAAACCGATTTTCACAACTGTACAGGCCAGGTAGCAGGCCTGATGAACAGCTGCTGAAGGACTGCTGTTGTTTTGTTGTTTGCCATCGAGTCAGAACTGACCCATAGCTGACCCTCCAGCGAGTTTTTAGAGGAAGTTAATCAAATGGAAGGAGATTGCCTATCCTTCTCCCGCAGATCAGCTGGTGGATCAGAACCTTGTGCCTTCTGGATTGAGGTGCAGCTTCTTATCATTAGGCCATTGTGAAGAAGGACTCTCCTAGTCTAGACCAGCTGAGCGCACCTCCCAGCTTGCCTGGGGCAGACCTGGTTGGTACATGCTGTAGGTCAGCCAGTGCTTTTAAAAATCCCTTTTTTTCCCTATTTGAAGAATATGCTGAACAATACCTGATACTTGAAAAATATCTGAACAGTAACTTGATACTCAAGCCTTCAAGCCTCTCTAGTGAGTTTTCAGAGTCTCTAAATCAAAACAGGAGGAGACTGCTCATCTTATTCCTGCCAAGCTCACTGGTGGATCAGTCACCAGAGAAGTGTCACCTTTGGGACAGCAGCATAATTCCCTAAGGACGAGGCCACCAGAGCTGGGTAATAGCTTTACAAGGCCCTGCAAAAGCTCTAGGGTGCTCAGGTGGCTCACTGGTAAGAAGCCGTATTACCAACCCAAAGCTCAACTGCTCCAATCTACCAGCTGCTCCGTGGGATAAACAATCTCCTCCCATGCTATTCTGAGAAGATATCTATATACTGCCTCTGAGAAGCACTGGAGGATCAGCTACGGCTCAGTTTCCAGCTCACTGGTACATACACTACAACAACCTGACTCCAGCTTGGGCCAAAATCTGTCCGTTTGTACATGTTTCTCTAATTCCATTTCAGAACAAGGAAAGAAACCAACAAGTTTTGCTTTACCTGTGAAAATCTTCTTTAAGCTTTTACTGATCCAGATGTTGTCCAGAGACTTGGAGCCTTGGGGATTCTTGGTGCTGATGTTGGTGAAGGTGTGCGTGGGGACCAGGGGGTGGAATTTTTCTTTCCTCAAGATATCATAGTCACTGCTATCTGGCCCTTGACCAAAATCCCCTAAAATAATCACATCTTTTTCTCCTGAAAGTGGAAGAAGAGGAATTTAAGACTGAGAAGTAGCACCCGACATTGTCCAGAGCCCCGTCTACACTGTACCTCTTGGGTCTGATCTGACCCCCTCCCCCAGAGTTAAGACGGCTGGAAGGGTTTCTCATGCTTTCAAGCACTTTGTGCAAAAACTTCTGCATTTTTATTATTTTTTAAATTTCACTCTGATTTATTTACAAAGTTTGATTGCATTGTTTTTCACAAAAGATCCTTCCCATTTCCTTTACCCCAGAACTATGCAACCCTATGATTAACACCCTGCCCCCCATCCTCATCCCTCTATTTACACCCTCTCCCTCACCTTGGATACTCATACTCATTCTACAGTAATACAATATTTGTCCTTGTGGGACTGAGCTGGTTCACTCAGCATAATGTTCTCCAGTCCCTCCCAAGTTAGGTTGTAATTTACAAAATGACTGCTCCTGTGTGCTGTGTGGTATGAATGTACCACAACTTCTCAATCCATTCATTTGTGGTTGGACATGTGCCTGTTTCCATGTTCTTTTGATGGTAAATAAAGCTGCTATGAACATTGGTGTACAAGTTTCTGTTTGAGCCTCAGTTCTCATTTTCTTAGGGTATATTCCAAGCAATGGAATAACTGAGTCATATGGAATTTCTATGTTCAGCTTTCTGAGGAAATGCCAAACTGCCTTCCAGCATGGTACCATTTTACAATCCCATCAACAATGTATAAGAGTTCTATCTTGTCACATCCTTTCCAACATTTATTACTTGATATCCTATTATTAAACTTTGCCACTGCTACTGGAGTGAGATGGTATCTCATTGCGGTTTTGATTTGCATCTCTCTTATTGCAACTCTGGATTTTTTTTTAACTGAAAAGTTTAAGAGTAGGTTAACAACACAGTTTGAAATAGGTGTAAACAGGGGTAATATGAAGAAATCAGTTTAAACTCATAGGTTCCAAATCTTACAACAGAAAAAAGCCCAAGGGTTTTGCCCTGATCTTTAACAAGTGCTACAAGAATTTTCACTGGGGACTTGTAAGAGGGTCTAGAGATGAATAAAATAAACTTGATCTGTAGGAGCTCAGACTCTAATGGGAAAGACAGACTAGAAAACAGGTTAGAATACTGCATAGGTGTGATTGCAAAAATGTTTACAGAAGTGGGAAAAGAATGTCAGTCTATCACTTTGTTTTCCCACAAGTCCCTCCTAAATCACACAAATATTCCACTTATTTTTATGGTTTTATCTCCTGCATTTTACTCTTGACTCTACCTGGAATTTATTCTTGCACAATAATGTAAGAAAGAAATCTAGTTTTATTTTCCCCCACAAATAATCATGTATGCCAGTACCATTTCTTAAAGTCTTTCTTTCTTAACTGAATCATAATGCCACTTTCATTTTTCAGACCTTATGCATACTAGATAGGTTTCTAAGCTTTATTCTAATAATCTATGTTTATTCTTTATTTTCGGTTTTATTTTTATTCTAATGTACCATAAAACAATTTCTTTTTTATTTTTTAATTTATTCATTATTGCACATTTCCCCATTCCCTCCCCCTCTCAGAGCCCCCACAATGTTCTCCTTGTTCCACACTGTTCTCATAATGTATAGTCATACATTCCTTTCAAACAGTTCTTCCCCTCCTTTGCTCCAATTCAGTGTTCATGATCCATCCACCCCCTTCTCCATTCCCTCTCCACCCCCCCCACCCCATCTCTGCCCTATTTTAGAATAGCAGTGCTGGTAGTATTTACCCTTTTGTGACTGAGATATTTCACTTAACAGAATGTCCTCAAGGCTCCCTCATGTTGTGTAATGCTTTATTATTTCATTGTTTTTCACTGCTGCATTATATTTCATTGTGTGGATTTTTGTTGCTTTTTTAAAAAAGTAGCCTTCTTTTTAAATTTTAATTTTTTTTTCTTTTCTTGTTGTGTGCTGTTGAATCTGATCCAACTGGCACAGGAGATTGCCTCTCCTTCTCCAACATAGCATCTGGTGGATCTGAATCGTGAGTCTTTGGGATTATAGTGCAGTTTCTCTGCTGCTAGGCCACCAGAGCTCTCCACAGTGTTTTCTATCCATTTGTTTATTGATAGACACTTGGGTTGCTTCCAATCTCTTCGATATTGTGAATAATGCAGCGATAAACATGGATGTACATACATCTGTTTGAGTTGTGGCTCTGGTTTCTTCAGGGTATATTCCTAGGAGTGGAATTGCTGGATCAAATGGATTTCTAACTTTCTGAGAAAGTGTCAGATTTCCTTCCATAGCAGTTGTATCAATTTACATTCCCACCAACAAGGAATCAGAATTCCAATCTCTCCACAACCTTCGCCAGCATTTGTTGTTTGCTGCCCTGTTGAACTCTGCTATTATTCCTGGGGTAAGATGGTAAGTATTGTTGTTTTGTATGTTTATCCTTCAGCCAATACCTTAATATATTTTATTATTATTTCTTCATTTAAAATGTTTTTATATTCTATTGTTGTTATTGTGTAGAGTTGGGACAGACCCACAGCTGACCCTCAGGCAGGTTTTCAGAGGCAGTTAATCGTAGGGGAGGAGACTGACCCTCTTTCTCCTGCAGAGCAGCTGGTGGTCTCAAACTGTGTGCCTTTGGGATTGTAGCATAGCTTCTTGCCACTAGCCCAGAGCTCCCCAATATAAATTCTA